TTTTTTTTTTTTTTTTTTTTTTTTTGCTGTGGACTTCAAAGTATAAAGCTCGTGTGGTTTGAATATGGACTCAAAGGCTTTGTTGAATTTGACTTTAATTAGACAATACAGAAACAAGTTGAGTTTTTTGTTTTAATAAATGGGTTAAATAACATTTAATAAATTAATATTGGAAATAAACCTAGATTTTGTCGTTTAGTGTAGAATTTTAGAAAACAAAAAAAATAGAGACAAGAAATAATAATTAGAAATACCTAATCCGACGTGGGGGAGAGGGGAACCAAAACGGCATCGTATTAAGTCTCAAACATTAATCGACGGCGGATGGGGAGTTGGGGGATGGGTGAAAGCGACGAAACCAGGGGCTTGACACGGTTTCTACAGAATGGCATTTTGGAAATTAAGCACTGAATTTGGAGCATTTAATTTTAAAAAGAACGTAAAGTCACCTAGGGATCTGCGAAGAAGCAGCATGCAATTTCGTTTTAAAATTTATATATATATTTTTATATTTTCCGAGGAATTCTTTTAATTATTGACGTCGAATTTTCGAAGGTTCATACAGATTTCCTAGGAGTAGGAATTGGGTGGTTCGTGGTGTAGGGTAACATTACAGTGGTCTAACGCGGTAACGATGACGGCATAACGGCGTTTTATCAAAACGACGAATGACGAAATCCAACTCAGCAGAACAATAATCCATCACCGTCCGTCACTGCCACTATACGCGGTCACCAACAAGATGTCGCCACGTCAAAGTTGTAAATTGATTTTATCGTCACCGCCAACGCAACAGCGGTCCCTCAATTTGAAGATAAATTCGGTTTAAGATTCGTAATTGTTAAAAGGCAATGGGCCACTCCAAAACTGTAGCGATGGCAATTGGTCGGCGACGCCTCCGTAATAAAGAGAAAAGGAAAAGGGATTTATCTGTAATTTAAAAAAGAAAAGGGGGCAAAAGGCAATTAGGATAGGATGTTGGGGAATGGGAATAAAGACAACAAAAGTGAGGGGGTGGATGGTAATAGAGTTGTCGTCATGGTGCAGCCATATCTATGAACTCATTTGGGACTGCTTTTATTTTACTTTATTTATTTTTAATTTTACATGCAAACGTGTGTTGCGAACCAACTTACAACAAAAAAAAAATTTATAAAATATTTTTTTTTATAAAGTTGTGGAAACCTCTCTCCATTAGATGCGTTTTAAAACCGTGAGGCTATCAAATATATGTATCTGTTAGCGGTAGATTTGGGATGTAACAAAAATCTCATAAAGTTCAAATATCAACTCATCACTGACGTTAGATTTCAATTCTTAATCTTTTTAAAAGTAGGGTTGGATTATAACCCTATTTTCGAGTTTGGGGGTTGTTTTCATAAAAGAAAAAGAACGAGTGGATATTGTTTGCTTTGACCTATAACTTATCACCGTTAGCTTAACAGTTTTAAAATGCATCTATTAGAAAGAAATTTTCACGCTTTATAAGGAATTCTTCGTTTCCCTCTTTAATTGATGTGGGATCTCACAATTCACCCCTTTGAGGGCCAGCATCCTGCTCGATCGCTCGCTCTGTGTCTCACTCTAATACGAGTTGTATCAGACTCGTTGTGAGATTCTATATTAGTTGGAGATGAAAACGAAATATTATTTATAGAGTTGTGGAAACCTCTTGCTAACAAAACCAAAAGCAATAAGTTCCCTCCAAGCTGTCAGTCACGAGCCCATTAATATATTGGGCCTTATGTCACGAGCCCATTAAAACATTGGGCCTTACATGTCACGAGCCCAATATATTTTATTTTGAAAAATAGCTTTCTCAGTCAGCCTTAAATCCCCAATTTAGAGCTGAAACGATAAGGTTCTTAATCTTAATTTACCATATTATTAACATACTAATCCTCCATTATCCACATAATTTAATCCCCTCTGGATAACATCCCTTCTTCCAAGTTCCAACCACAATGGCCTGAGCTTCATCTCCATCCATAAACTCCCCAACAATGGCCACCTCTTTCAGATCCCGAATCCACCACTTCCCAATCTCTCCCACTTTCAAAAGCCCCTCTGTTTCTCCTCCTCCATTTCCAATCAAGGCCACTTCCCCTCTCAGAGGCCCTTTCCGGCCTCTCGCAGCCTCTGCGCCGCCGCAATCCACCGCCAAACCCTTAAAAACTCCTCAGCCGTTGGATTTCAAGATAATCGACGAAACCCCAATTGGGAACTCGAGGTTTCTGATCATCGGAGCCGTCTCGGTGGGCGTTGCCCTGTTTCTGATGGGTTGCAATGGCGAAAGGGCTCTGGCTTTGGGGCCTGAAGGGCCGTTGGTGGAGGAATTCTGGGACAATGTAAGAAGATATGCAATTTACGCCGTCACTGTAAGTACGGGTGCTCTTTACACTATTCTTCTTCCCATTTTGGAGCTGCTGAAGAACCCCATTACTGCTGTTCTTGTTTTGGCTATTCTTGGGGGTGCCATTTTCGTTATTTCTCAAGTTCTATCTGCTATGGTTGGCGTCAATGAGTTTTCTTATGATTATGCCTATTGACCCATCAAAGCAATATCTTACATTGCATTGTGCTAAATTTAAGATTGTTTCCACTGTGTCTGCATTGATATTGAAGGTTTCAACGGGTAGCTTGCTTACTTTCTTTTATCCTAAAAATATGTGATTCATTTTCTCAATGCATCCTTACAATGCAATATGTTTGAGAAATCCCATGAATCATTTTCATGGTTGAACGAATTTGGCAGTCACCCACTGAACCATATCTTACATATCACCTAGACCCCACTGCTAGTAGATATTGTATCTTTTAAGCTTTCCCTTTCGGTTTCTACACCCTTATAAAGGATGCTTCGTTCTTTTTCCCAACCAATGTTGGATCTTAGGCTTTCCCTCTCGATTTTCACACTCTTATAAATGATGTTTCGTTCTCCTCCTCAATTAATATGGGATCTCACAATCCACTCCCCTTCAGGGCCCAGCGTCCTCACAGGCACTCGTTCTCTTCTCCAATCGAGATGGGACTCCCTAATCCACCCTCCTTCAGGGCCAGCGTCCTTGCTGGCACACCACCTCGTGTCTACCCCTTTAGGCGCTCAGCTTTCTCGCTGGCACGTCACCCAGTGTCTGGCTCTGATACCATTTATAACAGCCTTGTCCTATTTGGACTTGCCCGACTTTGGACTTTCCCTTAAGGTTTTTGAAATACATCTGCTACGAAGAGGTTTCCACACCCTTATAAAGAATGTTGCAAAAGGAGAACAGTTTTTGAAATACATCTGCTAGGAAGAGGTTTCCACACCCTTATAAAGAATGTTTTGTTCTTAGATGTGCAAAATGAGAACCGGAGAAAAGTGATTAGCCTTTGGAGAGTGATTGAAAATCAGTGTTTTCGTGAATGGATACGAAAGCTATTCCCTAATGAATACAAAAATTCTAACCATAAAAGGTTACAATAATCTAACTTTTTATAAATGAATGACTTGTTGTGATGAACTTGTAATAATGGAATGACTTATTCTTTACTCAAATATCATCGAATTGACAGAAGATTATAACAGAATGTACACAGAAAGTCGATCAAATGATTAATGTGAGAAGTTCTTAGAAAACTAAAGGATCATAGACAATTCATAAGGTCCACAAGGGCTATCTGTTCATAGGCTTGTTAAGTCACGAAGAACAAGTTACAGAAGATACAGAAAGAGGGTAAAGAAAAGTGTTAGCATATTGAAATGACAGAGTTTGGCCAGGACCAAGAGCCTTGCCGTCGTTGATAAGGCAGTCATCATACTTGACTCGCCGGAAAATTCTTGGATTCACCAATCTGGCTGAGCTGAACCAACCACATTTCATGTGAATGTTGGAGATGCTGCAGCCTGAAGAACATGAATTTAAGATCTGAACTATGAACGATGGAATCCCATCTGGAAGTGGAGCTGTTTGCCCTTGAAATACAACCACGTCGTCTTTTGAACATTCTGAACCAACCCGATTCATCCCTCGACCTATTTAGAATAAGATTCATGGTTTATAAGTAAAGAACTAATGAACAATTGTAACAATGCGTTTCTTACCAGTTTTAGAAGACTGAAGCGACATCCAAGAAATTCCACTGTTTTTTTCTCTTGCAGCCGCCTGAACAACACTCAAACGAACCAACTTGAACGCTGAATATTCCAAATCAAAAGACAGTAAAACTGGTTGGGTATAAATTTAAATGACATGGGGAAGAAGATCCACTAAAAGAACAGAAGAATTACCAAGAAACAGGGAAAAACAGAGGAAAAATCTGGGAAAAGCACCAACTTTCATGGCTGTTCACTTTCTTTCTGAAATAGCTTCAAAAGGGGTGTATGTAAAAGCATGTGCAAAGAGGTTGGAGTGTAGAATGACGTTTTTGAAAAGGAAGACCAAATCAGTGGAGTGAGCACACGTGTGAACAAAATGGAATTAAAAACAGAGGCTCCGTCTTCATCTGCTAAACCTGGAGGGCTACTTATAAAAGCAGAGTGAGCTGGGGGTGTCCGCCATTAATGGCGTCAAAGGTCTAGCAGCCATATGAAGGGCTGTGTTCCTTAAACTGGGTGATGAAATTCACAGAGGGAGAGTGGTGGGGAAGAGGAAAGGTTGTTCTTTTTCGGTCCACAGAGCCGCCGCCAAAAGCAGGGGATGTCGGCTATGATGTGCGGCGTTATTTATGTAGTTGTCTGTGTCTGATTTGAGGGCCAATCGAAATATGGGCAGAATCTTTAGTAGTTGGACATTAGTTGCATTTTTTAAAATGAGCTAAATTATTAAAAATATTATTTTTTACTTTAAATATTTTTAATCTTAGCAACTTTTAATAATGTTCCAGACCAAGTTGAACTCTTCCCACAACCTTAATTCCTTCAACTCCCTAACTTTTTCTGAAAAAACAAAACGGCTAACCTTAATTTCTTCGCAATCTTCAACAACAGGCCCCACTTCCCATTATTCAGCAATGACGTGGCACTTTGCATCTCAGTACGCAACTCCCTTCTCAGTCATCCCCCTCCATCTCCAATTCAAAACTACTTTCACGAAATCATCAGCCATTCCCATCCTTCCAAACAAAGCCAACCATTAATTAATGCCAATTTATCTGCACAAAACCAGCATAGTTTTATAAGTTTCTTTCGTCTTCCCCTACCTATAAATATGGTTGCTTTCCTTTCACAGCCTCTTGCCTCTTAACTTCAAATCGTCTTCCTTTGAAAGAGATCCGTAGCCATGGCTTTAGGATGGCTACTTTATTCAGCAGCTCGTCTTCTTGGGAACCCGAATCATGAGGTCCATGGCTACGGTGAAGAGAGGAGCTCAAAAGGGAAAAAGGGTTGTGAAGAAATATGCACTTCTTCTGGGTTTCAAATGCCTCTCCATTACCCTCACTACACCAAGGCAGATTACCAGAAGATGGAGGAGTGGAAGGTGGATCAGCTTCTCAAGGAATATGGCTTGAGCTTTCAAGGCAGTTTGGAGGAGAAGAGGGCCTTTGCAATGGGTGCATTCCTATGGCCTGATCAGTATTAATACTCGGGACGAACGAACGATGTGGGTATCTGTTTAAAACATATTCTGTATCTGTTTAATGGAATATGATCTCCATATGTTTTCTGTATAATAAAGAGAGAGAACAAAGATACCAATGTGTTATGAGTACTAAATAGAAAGAACTATCTGATATAAACCAACGCCCATTTTATGAGTACTAATTCAAGAAACAATGCTACCCTATTCATCTAACTATGACCAAAACATTCAGTACAAGTTCTATGAATCAGCCAAGATTGGTCAGTGTAAGTTCATATATGCTGAGATGTAAATAAATCATTCGCTTTGAATTGAAATTATTCATACCAAATTTTCCAGATGCTTTTGATAACATTCAGCTTTGGACCGCCTCGATCGATAACTTTACATCTCTTAGATATTCTAGCCACGAGCCAGGTGCATTCTTATTGAGTCAAAAGCCTGTACAACCATTACCATTCCAAGCATGCAGTTCTCTTCCTTAATATTACATTGTGTGAGTTTGACGACCTTCGTCTGTCTCCATTGCAGACAGCTATGAAAGGAAGTCAGATAAAGAACAATCAGTTCGGGAGAATGTCGAATTCATAGCAATCCCTTAGCAGAAGCATTAACCATTTGGCGATTCTGTCAAATCCATAGCTGCAACCCCGTCACTCTCGGGCATTCTCCTAATCTCGTTAAGAAGTCTTGTGATCTCTTTCATCAGTTCCCTACGGACATGCTCACTACGTTCTTTGGTAATGGAAGATTCGGCAAAAAGAGCCTCGGTAAGTCGCTGATATTCATGAAACCAATGCCCACCGTTACTCTCAATACCATGACCATCGCTTAAGGCTAGAGAGCTTTCCCGCCTCCATCTACTTAAATAATATTTATCAGGAAGCTGAAAGTAATTCTTTATAATGAATATGCGCAAAGCATGTCTGCATAGCATGCCTGAGGATTCAAACTCCTTACAAGAGCAGTGAATCTGTTCGCTGTCTTCAATCCACATCACAAAACGCTCTCCATCAATCTTCTTGAAGTGGTGCATGAGATATGATCCATCCGCCATTTCAGATGCAGCATACTGCATGGCCAACACTAATTCATGCTGTAAAGCATTGAAGGCAAATGGGGTGAGGATGCTTCGTGCATGTTCTTCGATCGGTATATTCGTCTTTAATTGCAAATATTGCATCTCATGATGCTCATGGCTTTGGAAGTTGGCTGAAATACCAACCTGAACGAAATTGAAATAACAGAAATGACGAATCCGAGGGCTGTAAAATCAAAAAAAAGAAAGTATTTTTGATCTCCCAGAAAGTTACCTGCTCGAAAAAGCTACGCAAACACGTCTGTGCACTAAAAACTCCTTTCAAGAACATATCGACAGCCTTGAAATAGGCTGATGTTGCCATTTGAGCTAAAAGACAACCTCTTATGTACAATGGTACCCAGTATTCCCGAAACGAAAATAGTAAATCGAGGTGCTTGTCTGAAACGATACCAAACATTGATACCATTTGATCCCATCGAATTTCAAAATCCTCTGAACTCTCCACAGAATACAGCAAATCAAATTCGGATTTGAACTCTGCATAACGAGGTCCAAGATAAAAAGAAAACCAACTAGATATCTTTGACAAAATATTCCATCTCGAAATTATGTGCTTTGTGCCAGGTAATTCACTTCTTATTGCATCTCTAAGCCCTGGATCAAGATCAGTCAAAATTGTCTGCGGGAATGTGCCTCTCATGAAACGAATAAAGGTCTGTAATTTTACGGTGAAGATGAAGATGTACGAACGCTCAGAATTTCATAAACTAATACGAAAAAGAACAACAAAGAGAGAAAGATATTATATACCTGAAAAGCCCAAGCCAACGAACGAGGCGTTTCATCTTGCAACAAAACACAACCAAAGAAAATAGTCCTACCATGGTTATCAATGCCAAGCCACACTCCCAATAGTAAACCATATGTGATTGATGAATAAGTAGTGTCAAAATAGACAACATCCCCAAACATGTCATAAGCATTAACAGAGTCCCCATATGACCAAGCAACATGTTCAACCCTATCATTTGCATCAACTGTGAAGTCATAAACAAACTCTTCATCTGATTCTTTCGTGGCTTTGCAAGCCTCTAGAAGCTCTATTGTATCAATTTCCCGTTTTTCGTTTAGCAGCGCATCGCGTTCTTGAACAATCTTCTTACGATTTTGAACAAAGTTTCTAACATCTCTCTCCAAAAAAGGCAATTGACCTCCATGAATGCCCTTTTCCAATTCCAATACCTTCACTATCCGATGAATGGGAAACCCAGCTTTTGAAAGCAGAAGTATGCGTTCTTGGTCGGCCTCGTGAATTTTTCGATACGCAGGAAGGAGGCGAACTTGGTCATCTTCAAGAAGTTCATGGTTATGAACATTGCTGAATTGCACTACAAACCATTGTGCAACTCCTTCACTGACTTCCTTCGACAAATACATCTTAGCATCACACCCACAACGCACCGATTTCCTATCTCTATGATTCTCCCCAATGGGTTTTTTCCTTGCAGGTGCAAATCCTGAACGATAACAAACAAAATCTCGTTTATAAACACCCAATTGCGGGCTTAGTCTCGATCGCTCTTTCCTAATAGAGAACCCATTCCTCCTAGCAAAATTCCCATAATACTCAAACGCCTCAGTGTCACTCTTAAACACCATTCCCACGTAAGGGGAAACCATAGCTTCAGATGACACCCTTTCGGACTTTACTAACTCGGCTGCGATAGAAGTTTCTTCGCCTTCTCCTTCATATGAAACATAACATTTCCAATCCCCACAAGGGCATTGCTGCCGTCGAATCCATACGTTTTTCGACGGTATGGATGCCATTGCCGAAGGGTAGCTAAAAATTGTAATACTACATCAAAATTCTCGAGACTAACGTGGAATCCACGGCGCAAACCAAACCTTAAATCTATTAATGACACTCATTTACAGACATGACAATCATTTACGTCCATGAGACACAGAATGATTTAGTGGGCTTGAAGCTGAATTGAGCTCTAATTAATAAACCCAGAATGATTTACATACCATAGATGACGGGTATGCGGATTCAACCCTCATTCCTCTTCAGTTCATAATCAAATCTCACCGGCTGGCTTGTGTTGTTTCTCTTCCGCCTGTGTTTTCCCTTCGCTCCTCCAGATGATAACACCGAACAGCGGAAGCGTTCGCCCAACCAAGTTTGAAGTTTTGGGCTTCCTTTATTGGGCTTTTAGAATATGTTGACTCTTTGCTAGACTTTGTTTATTGGGCCTTTAAGAACATAATAATAATTATTGGATTAAATCTAAAATGATTTGAAAATAGGTTATGGAGATGTCCAAAAATCAAACAATAAATTTGTCACGTCAATATCAATTGTCACTTAATAGATGACAGCCAATGTTTTTGACAATATTATTTCCATTCCAAGCAACCTCTAATTTAGTCTTCAATTTCTAGATTATATCATACATGAATAAGTATGTGGTGGCGGAGAAACCTCGAAAAGAAAGAAAAAATGTTTTTAAATTCAACTGTGAAGCTCAAGTAAAAACTGGGTAAATGAATGAACCGATCTTACATTCGAATGAGAGTTATCTTGATAATATGTATACCTTCCTTTTCAATGGTTGAACTGTGTTTCCCGTGTTGGTCTCTAAGGAGTGTCGAGGCAATGGAGCATTACATCAACAACGGTAGGATATACTTATTTTGATTTGTTCGACGATATATATAATTAAAAATAAAAATATGAAATTGTTGGTATAAAGATAATGGTAGGTTGGAGCCAAATAAACAAATTCATTGCCAAATGAGTACTCTTAGTTGTAATGAAATTAATATACTTTCAAGCAAAGAAGAGTGAATTAATGAAGGTATTAAGGTTGTTTTACAACAACAAAAATCTTCAATTTCTTCCACAAATGCTTTTTAAAAAGCCTTACTTTAACCAAATTTTAGCGGTGAAGCATCCATACCTTTCCATCACCACCCCTTTCTTATCTCTTCATTCCAATATTTCTACCCTTTTCAACCAATTTTATCCTTCCGAATCCGACGATAAGACAGATCTAAATTTTCGTTAAAAACTTTCTATACTAATTTTGAGATGTTTATAAACATTAAAGGACAATATTGTAACAATTCAAGCTCATCACGAGTAGATATTGTCAATTGTTCTTCGAGAGTTTCTCTTCAAAGTCTTAAAATGTGTTGGATATAGAGAGGTTTCCATACCTTGAATGCTTAGTTCCCCTCTCCAACCGATGTAGGATCTCATAATCCACTCCCTTGAGGGCCTAGTGTCTTCGTTAGCATACCGACCAGTGTCTAGCTCTAATACCATTTGTAACAGTCTAACCTCACCGCTAACAGATATTGTCATCTTTGAACTTTCTCTTCAAGGGTTTTCCCCTCGAAGTTTTAAAATGGATATGTTAGCGAGAGATTTTCATAACCTCAATGCTCCATTTCCCTCTCCAATGGACGTATAACTAACGCCAATTGGGTTCGACGACCGTTTAACTTTATATTTTCAAAGTTTAACATATACGGACTAAATAGACATCTCAAGTTAAAGGACGTAACCGACCAAAATGACATTTTCGGGTTTAGGGTATTATTGAATGGTTCAAATGGCAATCATTTTCATAAGTTAGGTAATAGAATAATGGGGATAAAATCATTCAAAAGCGAAAAACATGAGGACTTATGAAAAAAGAACACAAGAAGGTTAGATGTAGATATCCTGATTAGATTGTTAATATGCTTGCTGATCACATTTTAATGAAAAAGAGGCGTTTTTGGCAAGCGTCTTAATCATAATTAGTCTCTGTAATCAGCTGGATTAGCGGTCACTAATTCTAAAACGAATGGATCAAAGAAAGTGACCGTTACTGTGAAGAGGAGGGAAGAAGCCGGCTTTGCCGCCTATGAAACTGCGTTTTTCAAATTTTTTGTTAAATGGAAAATGGAATAAACAAAACCCCATTTCTTCTTCTTCTTCTTCTTCCTCTCTTTACGCTCAATCCCTTAAGCTATGGGACTCTGTTTTCCTTTTTGCCAATAAAAACCTCACTGCCCTCTGCTTCTCTTCCATTTTTAATTCCACCCCTGTTTTGTGTTGCTCTTCCTCTGTTGTCTCAGTAGATAAAAATCCGACCGGAATGGTGTTAAACATGGGGAGTTACGAGGAACATGTCGGCAGAGAAGAGGGTTCTGTTGTCCTTCTTGATCCTGTTGTGTTGGAGCTCACCCGTTTGCAGAACCTTCTAGCAGGTTCTTCTTCTTCTTCTTATTGTGTGACAACAACTGTTGAGCTGATTTGCACTTATGGGTCTGTCCTGTTTATTCTTTGTATATATGGGTTTCTTTGATGTTCGTGGAATGATTTTGTTCATTGCTCGAGGTGATGGTGGCACGCAGTAGTGAGCTTGTGATGCTTGTGCAGAAGAATCAGTTGATTTTGGTTGTTTAATCTTAGTTTTATCTTGTCTAATGAAGCCATTGAATTTTGACTTTTCTAGCTGTTTCAGATAATGGTTTGTAAAATGGAGGGAATCAATCAGTTTTCTGTTCTTTCATGCTTCGAATTTTGATGTTTTTTCATTGATTTGTTTGTAAATTTGGCTTAGATAGTGAGATCCACGTGATTATGAGTATGAGGATGTGGAAACCTCACCCTAATAGACGTGTTTTAAAATCATAGTCCTGCAAAATCGTGACAGCTATAATGTAAGGGAAAAGTGGACAATATCTATTAGCGGTGGGCTTGGGCTATTACAAATGGTATCAAAGCTAGATATCAAGTGATGTGCCAACGAAGATGTTGGGCCCCAAGGAGTGGATTGTGAGATCACACGGGAGAAGGAAACAAAACATTCCTTTATAATGGTGTAGAAATTTCTTTTCCTAATAGACGCGTTTTAAAACCATGAGGCTGACGACCGTACGTAACAGGCCAAAATGGACAATATTTGCTAATGGAAGGCTTGAGCCGTTACATAGTACTAAACATATACTATCAGTCTTACACTTTCCATGGACATGTTTTTGAAAATTTACAGAGAAGAACAGGGAGCTGGGAGCTGCACACAGTGAAATCAAGGCCTTGAAAGCCACAGAAGCCAAGAAAGACAAAGCTCTAGAAGAGGTCACTGCTTGAATCATCTGTAACACATTAATTTACAAAGAGGATGAACTATTAACATGTTCTAACTCTTACGTTTTGGATTTATAATTCTCAGCTGAAAAGTGAAGTTGATAAACTTGATGACAAGCTTAGAGCCACTGAGAATCTTCTTGAACACAAGGTTGATAGTTTACCTTTGGAGTTTATTTAACCTTTCCTGACTTCTTAGGCTTACTACAATGAATGTTAAGAACATGCAGAACCTTGAAATAAAGAGACTAACAACTGAGAAGAAAGATGCAGTGACTGCACAATATGCTGCAGAAGCTACACTCAGAAGGGTATATGCAAATCAGAAAGATGACGATTCGTTTACTCTCGCGTCGGTTGTCGCTCCTCTCGAAGCGAAAATCAAAATGTACAAGAATGAGGTGAGCTAAGAAGCTTATTATGAACTATATCTGCCATCATCCCATATTGCCAAAATGTGTCCATGTCTGTGGCTTTCAGGTTTTGTTACTGCAAGAGGATAAGAAAGCTTTGGAGCGTCTCACGAAGTCGAAGGAAGCGGCGTTGCTCGAAGCAGAGAAGATTCTACGAAGCGCGCTTGAGAGAGCTCTGATTGTGGAGGAAGTTCAAAATCACAACTTTGAGCTGAAGAGACAGATTGAAATTTGCCAGGCAAGGATTCATTTTACATAATTCAAAGGATTTATTTTGTGAAAGAACTAACCATGTCATTGGATTACAAGCAGGAAGAGAACAGGATCCTTGAGAAAACTAATCGCCAAAAGGTTATTGAAGTTGAAAGGCTTGGGCAAACCATTAAGGATTTAGAGGAGGCCATTCTAGCTGGAGGAGCCACAGCTAACATGGTTCGAGATTATAAGCGACAGATTGAAGAATTACATGTAAGTGTAATAGTGATTTGATGTTGTAGCTAGTGTCATTGATATTGATTTGAACAAACGAATCAGGAAGAGAAGAGGACTCTTGAGAGAGAATTGGCAAGAGCGAAAGTCTCGGCGCACCGTGTCGCTACTGTGGTGGCGAACGAGTGGAAGGATGAAAGTGACAGAGTTATGCCTGTCAAGCAGTGGCTGGAAGAGAGAAAGCTATTGCAGGTACTTTCATAACCTGAGTTTGAATTTTGTTTTCTCGTAGTTCTGTTCAGGATTATTGGGAGAGGAGTCTCGGCTAATTAAGGATTGACCATGAGTTTATAACTAAGGAATACATTTCCATTAGTATGAAGCCTTTTGGGAGGTTCATATCATATCATACCATTGTGGAGGTTCGTGGTTCCTAGCATAGTATCAAAGTCTCCATACCCCTATAGTGTACTTTGTTCGAGGGGAGGATTGTTGAGGAGGAGTCCCACATCCCCTAATTAAGGGGTTAATCATGAGTTTATATAAGTAAGGAATACATCTCCATTGGTATGAGACCTTTTGAGGCAACAAAAAGCAAAGTCACGAGAGCTCAGGCTTAAAGTGGACAATATCATACCATTGTAGAAAGTTCGTGGTTTCTAACAAGTTCCTAAACGAACTTAGTTTTTGACAAATCACAGGCGGAGTTGCAAAGAACAAAAGACAAGTTAGCTGTGTCAGAAAGAACAGCCAAAGCAGAAGCACAACTCAAGGTGGTGAACACTTCCTTCTGTTGAATACAAAGACACATTATCTCTCAATCTTTGCTGAAATCTGACCAAACTGCAGGAAAAATTCAAGCTGAGATTGAAAACATTGGAAGAAGGGCTAAGGAAAATACCAGCTTCCCCTGTAAATACCAAAGCATTTAGTGGATCCCCCAAAACAGAACGATCCAATAACATCTTAGGCTTCTTGACAAGCAATGGAAGGAAGAGATCAACTTCTCTATCAAAGCCTTCTTCAGCCATCTCCAAATCTTCAAACATTCTAGTTCAAACAAATGCAGATCATGACAAGGCCACTGCACCACCTGAGTTAAACAGGTCAAACAGCTTGAAGAAGAAATATGCCTCAGCTTGTGAAAACGTAAT